TTCTCTTATTACGGATTATCATAGGATTATGCAGGTTGATGTGCAGCATTATTCCAAATTGAGGTGCACTCTGCTTTTTCAGTGCCAAACTACAAGAACAGCCATCTGCCTAAGGGAGAGCCCATTCACACCAGAACTTCAGGGAGCACCCTTCACCTCACCCACATGCACAATTTTCTTCCCAGGCTTTTCCGGAGGGCCAAGTGCACATCCTTGTTCCTCAGGCTGTAAACCACAGGGTTCAGCAAGGGAGTCACCACAGTGTAAGTGACAGAAATCAGAGTGTCTTCCTGTAGGGAACACGTGGATTTGGGCCTCAAATAAATGATGGAGGCGCACCCAAAGTGCACAACCACCACAGTGAGATGGGAGGCACAAGTGGAAAAGGCTTTACGTTTCCCCTCAGTAGAGGGGATCTTGAGGATGGTGTTGAAGATCAAAACGTACGAGAGGAGAATCCACAAGAATGAGCCAAACACAACTACGATACAAAAAATAAAGATTACAGTCTCAATTCCATTATTTTCTGTGCAAGCTGCCTGAATGACGGGAGCCATGTCACAGAAGAAGTGATTAATTTCCTTCCCTCCACAGAAAGGCAATGTGAATATAAAGTAGGTAACTACCAGGGACAAGGTGAAGCCAGTCACCGTTGCAAAGCCCACTAGCTGACTACAGACTCTGTCGTTCATGAGGACTTTGTAATGTAAAGGTTTACATATAGCAACACATCGGTCATACCCCATTGCCGTTAGAAGCATACAATTAGTGCCTCCAAAGCCGAGGAAGAAAAACATCTGAACAGCACATCCAGTGAAAGAAATGGACTTTTCTTCTGTTATTAGATTTACCAGCATCTTGGGAATGACAGCAAAGGTATAGCAAGTTTCTGAAAAAGAGAGGATGGAAAGGAAGAAATACATGGGGATATGAAGATGACGATGGAGGCTGATAATTGTCATTAGCAGGACATTTCCAGTGAGGGTGACCAGGTAAGCCAGCAAAAAAAGGACAAATAGCGGAATCTGCAGATCCGGAAAATCTGAAAATCCAGTCAAGATGAACTCCACCACCTTGGTTTCATTCATCATGGATCTTCTGATCTGGAAAGAGGTCCTTGACAAGAAGAAATATGACATGAATGGTGAGAACAGTAACAAAACCACTTCCCTTTCATAGTCCCCAAAGCGCAGGGGATTAACAGCGGGGAGTGGTCCTCTGACACAAATGGACAGTGTTTCTACAGTGAAGGACTAATAACATAACAGCAAGTAAGAGAACTTTGTTTCCTTTGAAGTTCCCTGCTTCTTTGCAAACTCTCCTTTCAGTTTAGGAATATTATGAAGTGTAGTATCATAAAGCATTTCTTTGCTGTTCCTTCCGTATGAAGTATAAATGGATATGTGCTAAGAGCCTACACGCCGAATCAGGGTCAATGCAAGAACTGCAATGGAGAGCACAGATACCTCAGATATGTCAGTCCAAAGAACTGCTTTGTGTTGAAGCCTGGCAAAACCACACAAAGTTAGTTTCTGCGCTCTGGGGGTCATCATGGTCCCCTGCTGCATGAGAGGTGTTAGGCTCAAAAGTGTGCAGAAGCAAAACCCTTCACAGGCTCATTCACTGTGCTGAGAAGCAAAGCAGAACCATTAGCATCAGGTTTTCTCTCCTTTTCTTTCTCGTAATACATTTGAAGCTCTGGCATCTCAAGTATATAGGAAACACAAATATGGTAGGGAAAAAATATACCTTATTTGGTCAACTGATATACTCAGAAAAAACCTGCTACACAGTGGTTTATTCTGACTACTAGTTAGAACTGAGAAAACAAACTATGTTTTCCAGCTGGGTCAATAGTTCTGTTAAAACATACTGCCTGCCTAGGATGGCTGCATATGAGGAAGAATAATTAGTTATCTCTAATAAAAGGAATAATAATTAGTCACATTGTGTTATGATATTCATTCAACTGTACAGATAAACAGATACAAATGCATTTGAATAACCTCTTGTGTTATGTTTTAACCACTTGAAACGCAGTGAAAAATACCCAAAAAGCTCAAGATGAAAAAGCAGAAAGACAGGAGAAAAGTGAAAGCGTAGAGCCGAAACTACATGGAATGAAAGACTCTTTTCCTTCTCTGAAGCTTCAGCAAGGCTTCCTTCACTTGCTTGTTCCTCAGACTGTAAATCAGGGGGTTCAAAGTGGGACTGACAAGACTGTAGAAAAGGGAAAGAACTTTCTCCCTCCCAGATGAGTTACCACTCCCAGGCCCCATGTACATGAAGATGGCATTTCCATAAAACAGACCTACCACAGTCAGATGGGAACCACAGGTGGAGAAGGTTTTGTGCCATCCCGCTGCAGAGCGGATGCGCAGAATGGTGGCCAGGATGTGCAGATAGGAAATTAGGATTAATGCTAAAGGGAAGAGGAGGAAGCATACGCAAACAGCAAAGATTAGGACTTTATTGACAGTAGTGTCAGTGCAGGCCAGCTTTAAGACAGCAAGGATTTCACAGAAGAAGTGGTCAACCTCACAGGGGCCACAGAAAGGCAGGTGTAAAGCCAGAGAGGCTTGCAGTGTACCAAATATGAACCCAAAAGCCCATGAAACTGTGGCAAGGGTGAGGCACACCCTCCAGTTCATGATGAGGGTATAGCGGAGAGGATGGCAGATTGCCACATAGCGATCATAAGACATGACCGCCAGCAGCACGCACTCTGTAAGTGCAAGGATTAAATAAAGATGTATCTGTGTCCCACACCCAGCAAAGGAGATGGTTCTGCCTTGTCCAAGGAGGTTCCTCAGCATATGTGGGACATTGTTGGAGGCGTAGCAGATGTCCACGATGGAAAGGTGGCAGAGGAAGAAGTACATGGGGCTGTGGAGGCGGTAGTCCAGGCAGATAAGCACAAAGACAAGTGCATTTCCCATCAAAGTAGCAGAGTAGAGGACAGAGAAAACACCAAAGAGGCAAAGCTGCAGGGCTGGGTTGCTGGAGAACCCCAGCAGAATGAATTCTGTGACAGTTGTTTCATTTTGCATGCTGTCCAGGAGGTGAGACAGAACAAACTGCAAAGATGGAGAT